TCCTCTTGCCTCAGCCTCCTGAGCTGCTGGGATTATAGGCATGCACCACCGCATCTGGCTTTTCTCCTCCATTTCCAGGGCTATGCACAATTGCTGCCGGCAGTAACACGATCCAAATGTGAACTTTGCCCATGTGTTCCATCCTGAGTCCCCTAACTGTCCCCCTGTCTGATGACATGTGGCACCTGTATATCTGCTCATGGCTTCTGGCCTAGAGTGCTCCTCATATTCCTTCCCCGCTGCATGGAAATATCTGAAAACCCTCCTTAGGTTAACCCAAGTCACCTGGGCTGAGTCATTGACTACAACCCCCATCCTAACTACCCTGCCTGTGCTGCAGTCAGTGTGGGCCTTCCTGGGAGGCTAGGCCATACCTATCCAACAGGTGCACACATAGGTATAGATGTGTGTTGCCTGCTTGGACTCCCTGTGAGGTTTCCAAAGGCAAGGATGTTACTTACTCTCTCTACTTGGTACATCCTCCATTGCCTAACATCTGCCAGCACCCTTGTCAAGACGACCACCAGTTACCTTTGCTAATCAGTGTGTAACTGTTCATTAATTGAAATGCAACATCTCAATCCTAAATCCTGGCTGGGCCATCCTAAGGGGCTTTAAAACAAAGGAAGGAGCAACATTGTCATCCTGCTGTAGAGTCAAAAATGAGCAGAGGGGACCACAGGATGATAGAGGAGAGAAAACCCTTAAGGGTGGCCAAGAATTGGGCTCCAGAAAAGTGAGTACTGCGTTCATACTCTGGGAGTGTCTGTGGGGAATTGGAAGTGACCAGCCTCTGGGTGATGGAGTTTGGAGGAAATGTTCTTAAAATGTCCAAAATGAACGTGATTTTTTGAGTCCCAAGAGTAGGTGTCTGGCTACCTGGTCCTAGAGCATGTCAGGCCTCCCTTTGTTCATGTCTCCCAACACTTATTTCTGTACCCAGCATGTAGCAAGGAGGCAGCTTAATGAAAGTGTACTGGATGAGGTGTTGGGAGGAGGCTGAGGGAGCCCATCCAGCTTAAGGAAATCTAAGCAGAACCTGGTTTGCTGTGATCCTGCATCTTGGAAGAAGCACAGGACAACTTGCAAATGTGAGGCCAGAGCCCTCTGCCCCTCTTGCACACACTCCTGGCCTCTGCTGTTGTTTCACCCTTGTTAACGGGAAACTCAATAGACAAGCAGTTTCCCTTTATCCTGGAGGCTTGAGGGAGTCCCTGACACATGCTAGGCACACTGCTTATTTGGGAAGACACCAGCCAAGCCAGAGATGGGAGGGAGCAGACTCTGCAGAAAGGGGAAGGGAGGGACCCAGGCTCAGGATGTGAAGAGGCCGGGACATAGTACCAGCTCCTCTCCAGAAATGCAGGATATTGGGCAGCCTGGTACCCTGTGAGAAGGGAGGAGTGAGGGGAAGGAGGGTTCCTTTTGTGATCCACTGGTGGGGAGGTGAGCTGCTGACTTTCTACAAGGGACATAGGATCTAATTGGACTCTATATGGCCCTGGAGAGACCAGCAGAAGAGGGGCACTTCTAGGCCACTGGTCTGGCTAACAAGTAGATGAAATCTGGGGGTGGGTGGTACCTGTTCCTGTCCTTTTCCTTTTTCCCACTGTCTTACCAGTCCCCAGGAGCACATGCCTGGCTCTGATTTGACATCTCAAAGCCTCCCTGATATTCTTGCTTTCTGCCACCCCTGTGATCTGCCTTTTGGTTTCTTGCAGCAGGGCGAGTCAGTCTTCTTGCCACTTATTTCCCCTGTACCTGGCTCTACCTACTCATTTCCAACACCTTGGGTGCAGGTGGCATCTGGTCCCTCAGACCTCAGGGCTTTTGAATTCGTAAGATGTTCACAGAGCTCCCTCTTTACCTTCCTACTTTGTTCCTTAGTTGCCGACTCCAGAATTAAGAAAAATCTGTCCCTTGATCTATAACCCAGACCTTTCATTGAACTGAAATGCTTAAACCCTGTCCTTAAGGCCAAGAGTCAGCACTTGGGACATTAGAGGTGCCCAAAGAAAATGAGGTAAAGGGCCAGCAAGAAGGGAACAGCCCCAATTGCTGGTGCTTCCCTCAGGTGGTCACACCCAACTGCCTAGACCTCTCCTCAGCAGAACTATTCCTACCAAGGTGGTTTCCTAGATGGACAGGGCAGAGGTCAGGGCAGGGCAGGAACTCCACTGGGCTGAGGAGCCCTAAGGACAGTCCTGGCCCTGTGGAGCTCCAGCTCTGGGATGTGAGAGTTGGCAAGGAGATGGTTTCTGTAGGTCCCAAGCCTGACAAGCTCCTGACCCAAGTGGACAGGGTAAGAACATTGGCCAGGGGTTTGGACTTACCTGGGCATTTGGGGAACCTCAGTGGTTCCCATGGCTACCTGATGTCAAGGCTGTGGCCCTGAGCCCATTGGCTAGGGTGGCGGGGGAACATGAAGAGGTGTTTGAGGAGGGGGAGGCCATGGGGCTTCAGGTAAAGCAACCCCTGCAGATGTGCTGGAGAGGATACCTCATTTGTGGAAGCCTCTGGTAATTTGTTTTGGGGATGAAGTAAACCAGGTATGACAGTGTGAACACTAGATCTTGCAAAAAGGATACTTGTATGGAAAATCGCTGGTGGGAAGATCACAGAATCCCTTTTTTTAGGTAGCAGGAGTCAAACTCCGGGGTATGTGGTCACTGAGCCACATCCTCAGTCCTGTTTTGTATTTTATTTAGAGACAGGGTCTCACTGAGTTGCTTAGGGCCTAGCTTTTGCTGAGGCTGGCTTTGAACTAGAGATCCTCCTGTCTCAGCCTGCTGAGCCACTGGGATTACAGGAGTGCACCACTGTGCCCGGCAATCATCTATTGTCTTTGTTCAGTTCAATCCTGATTGAATTCTATTTCAATGGGGAACTTACTATCACCAAAGTTAGTACTACTAAGGAGTACTGAATATTCATTGCAATTGACTGTTTTCACTAAAGGAAAGGAAATTAGTGTGCTAGGCCTCCCAGTCAACTTCGTGGTGCCAGCATCCTTCTTCCTCAACTGTGGACAAACTAGGACATGGTGAAGCCTAAGCTATCACTTGGCTGCCCCCAGGCAACTAGGGCTTGGACCACACTTGAATTCATGGAACAAGTGGTGCTCTTCTTCAGCAAGGTGCTAGCTCATCTAACAGGTGTTACACAATTGGGTACTACAAGATCTCTGGCCTGGTTCTGAAGCCCCCGTTCTCACGGAGCAAGCTGATAATCTCACTGACTTGTATCTGGTCCACATATTAAGGGCCTTTGAATCCAGAAAAGAAAAAGGAAGTCATATCAGGTTTGGACTCTGGTCCTAACAGTGACACAGGTAGGGCAGGTTTTTAGCATCCTTGTCTGCCCTACCCCACTGGCAACAATTGAGGAGCCTTGAGAACACCTCAGAGACTGAGATGAGGCCTCCCTGTACTTTCAGTTCAAGCAAAGGGTGGGTGCAGGTAAGTGGGCATCAAGTCCAGGCAGTGTGTCTGTGCTTCAGCCCCTCACACATAACACCCCTCAATGCCTACCCCCACCCTATCTTTTGCTGCCCCAAGGCCTTGCCCTGTGTCATTACTGTTCTCTTCATAGCACACTTGCACACACAAAAGCCAATACCAGCCCGCTAGTCTCATCTAACATGCAGAATGCTTCCAAGACTACATGGAATTTCTTCTTTCTAACAACTGTTCTTTTCCCATTTGGGGGGAAGAGGACAATTGAAAACTGAAGCAGAGGACTTGGGGTGTAGCTCTGTGGTAGAGTGCTTGCTTAACATATGCACCCTGTTTGGTCCAGAATGGCAAAAAAGTGAAGCAGAACAAAATCAACTGGGAACCACCTGATTGGTAATGTTGAGTACTCTGTTCAGCAGTAAAATCCATTAGCAATGGCATCTGACTGTATGGCCTGACTGTCCCCGGTCTTTCCAGAGCTCTTACCAAGTTCTCTTCTTGCGTATCCAGGGTTGCAGACCCACATGTAGAGAACTCATTGAGATTCCCCTGCTTACTCCAGTAATTCCAATTGGAAGGGCCTGTAGTCAGTGATCTAAGGGTCACCACACTGAGCTGCTTCAGTAATCAACCTGAGCCCCTTTCTTAGAAATGTTCTCAGGCCCTCAGAATCAGTCTAGGCTCTGTTCATGTGATGTCTTACATCCCTGCCAGCCTGAAATGTGAGCCTCACCATGGCTGTGGCAACTGCCTTAGGCCCAACACCCAGACAAAGGATGGAGTCTGGTGAATGTCATGATCCTCTGTAGGACTCAGGCCAGAAATCTTTCCAGGCCCAGGGCAGCTTATGTACATCTGATCCACCCTTGCCTGTGGACCATGTCAGATACAGGGAGTGTATGATGACCACAGCCAGATGCAAAGGAGTACCCTGACCTTTGTAGCTCTGCAGATAGGGCAGCTGTTCCCATACCAGGAACCTGTTTTTCCTGGTACAGTTGCCAGTCATGCTGTGATTGCAAGATCCTTGAGTCACACTGCAAGAGGACAGCAGGAGAAATAAGATTCTGAAGAGGTGACAAGGTAAAGGTCAGGGCAGGTACTACCTAGAGAGCAAGGTGCTGGGTCCAGGACCCCATGGCAGGCCAGGGTTTGGCTTGCTTGGTATGGGCTGGAGACTGGGTTCTTTACCAGGCGGAACCCTGAATTTGAGTTGGTATGAGATCTCACCTCCAGGTAGGAAGAGCTGCTTGGCTAATAACTGTCAATAAGATAAGCCTACCAGGCATACTGGCTGAAACAGATGCCCAGAGCACTTTTTGTTTAGGTGGACCCAAGGAAGAGAAGGCTCAAAGAGGCTGCAATTATCTACACCTTACTCATGTGAGGGGTTGTACAGGGCCACTGGTGCACTGTGAAGCAGAGCAGGTGGTGGCTGGCACTCCCCATCCATTAAGGAGGGGCTGCTACCCAGGCAGGTTAAGAGAGGCTTGGCTGAGCCTGTTCCCTGGGGAGAAGTTGGAGCACACAGAACAGCAGCAGATAGTCCATGGATAACTTAGTTTATGGGTCAAGCCAATACAATGCAAAGTTATTATTTCTTTTTTAACCAAAATAAATAAATCAGATCTGTCCCTGTGAAGGTCAAAGTAAGGAACAAAGGGCAGCTGGCCCCTTGGCCCACCCAGCCCTCACCCATCCCTCTCTCCTGCCTCTGACCTGCTTTGGCACAGAAAAGAAAAGGATGCATTGAAAGTCTCCATTGTGTTTAAGGGAAAGAGCAGAAAGAAAAGTGGAGTGGTTGGGGTGGGGGGTCTGAGAAGGAAGTTGGGGTCAGCAAGACCAATAGCTACAGCCAGTCAGTGCCCTGACTGTGGGACCCAAGAGGGCTACTGGCCCTACAGGGAGTCTGTGGGCTCCAGGGGCTGCCAGGCCCCGGACAGCATGGGTGGGGCATGACCCCATGCACAGCCCAGAACCCTTGAAGGGAAAGGCAGCCGAGATGGTCACTGCACAATTGAACCTAACCCCACTGTGCCAGGTCAGGTCAAGGGCTCCCCCACTTCCCTGTTATTCTCATCTCACCCCACGGCTGAGGCCTACCATGCCAGCTATGATTCCTCTGGGGCTTAATATATTAGGCCAGGCCCCAGTAAGCAAAGCAACTCCTAGTTCCAGTGCAGGATCTTGCCTTGTTGGGTGACAAAGACTCCAGCACCCTGGGAAGTCACCTGAGGTCCTGCTTCTGCTTGGGAGATGATATGGTGGGGAGGGGCTTGATTAGAGCTGACCCTCCCCAAGACCATCCTGTGGGGCTCCCTTTCCTTCTCCTGTTCCCCCTGCCTCCACGAAAGCTGCTCAGCTTGAGAAGTCTGCACAGGCTGGACAGCATCTGGAATGGGGGAGGGTCAGCAAAGCACTCAAGGGGGACAACAGTCTAATTCCTATGAGAGCAGGGCTGGGTGGTGGTGTGTGGCACAGCGAGAGGGGCAGAGGTGTGGGCAGCGCTGAGGCACTATTCTTTAGTTGAGAAGCAATGGGCATCATGGATGTGTGGGGGGGTCTGTGGCCCAAGAAACCCCTGGAGCGTCTAAGAGAATTTTTTGAAGGCGTCCAGATCAAAGGCTGTGTCCAGGAAGCGCTGCAGCTCCGTCAGATGGGTTTTCTTGTTGCCAGTAGCTGGAGCAGCTGCTGGATCCCGGCCAGCATACCTGAGAAGGAACAGTAAGGCAGTGGTCACAGTGGGTACTTTTCCCTCTCCAGCATACTCCCATACTGCCCATCAGCCTGAGGGAAGGTCCTATAGGCCCTTCCTGCTCACCAGACAGGCTTGGCGCGGTCGATGGTGGTCCGAAGTCTTGGTTTCACATAGTCGTAGTAGCCTTGGTTCTTGTGTTCTTCCTGGCACCAGGCCAGCTCAGCATTAGGGTATTTCTGCACCTCCTTCAGCAGGAGGTCGAAGGGGAATGGTGACAGCTGGGAGAGAGCAAGGTCAGATCAGATCAAGAAAGGGATGTTCACAGGGCATGCAAGGTCAGGAGGGAGGCTTGAGGTTCAGAAAGGGCAGTCATTGTTCTAGGTGAGAAAAGTCAAGCGCTAAGGATTCCCAACTTCAGTAAATAATATTCTACAAAGGCACCAGATCCCTGATAGTCCAGAAGGCGGATAATAGCACTCAGATGCCGTGTCTCCTGCCCTTACCTGTTCAATTCTTGTAATGGCCACCTGCTCTGCCATGTCCCTTGCCTTGCGCTCTCGGGTGAGGTCATAGTACACCTTGCCAGTGCAGAAGAGAAGCCTCTTGACTTTGTCTGGGGCCTGAGCTGCAGGGCCATCTTCCGGGATCACCCGCTGAAAGTGGGTTCCTATAAGACAATTCCCATGGATAGGGAATTACTGCTGTGGGTGAAGGGAGGATCCATGAGATAGGGCTATGTTCATGATGCCCCAGTTGGTTTCTGAGGGTTTGAGGTGCTTCCACTTCACCAGCCTCTGATGCCTGGATCTGCTCAGACCGTAAGTGCTTTGCAAAACACATTGTGTATAACAAGTATATAGCATACCGGACAAAAATTAAACAACAAATGAACAAACTGAAAAACTAATCATACACAAACAGAAATGTTGGGAAAGATGTGGAGAAATTGAATTCCTCTTGTGCACTGCTGGTGGAAATGCTAAATGGCATAGCCATTGTGGAAGAGTTTGGCAGTTCCTCAAAAATAGAATTACCATATGGTCTAGCAATGCCACTTCTGGGTATGTACCCAAAAGAACTGAAAGCAGAGCTTTAAAGAAATATTTGTATACGCATGTTCAAAGCAGCATTATTCCCAAGAGCTAAAATATGGAAGCAACCCAAGTGTCCATTGATCAATGAATAGATAAACACAATGTGGTTTAGCCACAGAATGGAATATTGTTTACCCTTTAAAAGAAAAGAAATTGTACATGCCCATACTCCCAGTTACTTGGGAGGTGGAAGCAGAAGAATGACAAATTTGAGGTCCAGGCAAATTAGCGAATTCCTATCTTAAAATGAAAAAAATTTAAAAAGAACTTGAGCTGGGTGTGGTGGAGCATGCCTGTAATCCCAGTGACTTGAGAGGCCGAGGCAGGAGGATTGAAAGTTTGAGGACAGCCTAAGCAACTTAGTGAGACCCATCTCAAAATAAAAAATAATAAGAGCTGGGGATGTGGCTCAGTGGTTAATTGCCCTTGAGTGAAATCCCCAGTACAAAACAACAAAGACTGGTGATGTACCTTAGTGGTAGAGTGCTTCTATTAGTATGTATAACTAACTCTGGATTCAGTATAGTACTAGGAATGAACACACGAACACACATACAAATACAGGGTAAACATTCCTATCTTTTTTTTTTTTTTTTTTGCCTGGGGACTGAAACTAAGGGTGTTCTACCACTGAGCCGCATCCCTAGTTCTTTTTATTTTTTATGCATGGGTTTCACACAGTCACTCAGACTGGTGTTAAACTTGGGATTTTCTTGCCTCAGGTGCTGGGATTACAGGTACATGCATTGCATTTAGCCCTAATATTTTTTTCTTCTGCTCTGGTACTGGGGATTAAACCCACGTGCTCTCTACCATTGGGTTGCATCCCCAGCCCTTTGTATTCTGAGCCAGGGCCTTGTAAATTGTCAAGGCTGGTCTTGAACTTGAGATCCTCCTACCTCAGCCTCCTGAGTTGCTGGAATTATAGGTAGGCATCACCATACCTGGAGAACATCCCTAATATTAAAAACTCCAAAAGTGCTGACATGATGCCCAAAGTGGAAAATCCCACATCTGACCTCATGTGATAGGTTGCAATCAAAATGCAGGTTCACTGAAAGTATTAATAAAAATACCCTCAGGCCATGTGTACAGATGAAAGATACAATTCATTTATGAAACATAAATTTCATATTTACACTTGGGTCCCATTCCCGTCTATATTGTCACTGTACTATATGATTCTACTCACATAAGGTAACTTGGTGGCCAGGAGGAGCTGTGGACCCTGGGGATATCTGGGCAGCTGCAGGCTGTCAATCCCTGCTTGCCACTGTCCATGAAACCTCAAGCCTTGGCCTCACTTCACACCAGAACTCACAGAACCACCTCCCATGTCTTTTCCTATCCCACAGGGCTTGCTAGGAGACCTGGAATTCTGAGTCTGGGGTGAGCTGCTGGAGGACACCATGGGCAACAGCCCTAACTTATAATAATCTTAGACTCACTTAAGTGTAGTCCTGGGGCACTGGGTCTTGACCCCTTGACCAAAACCTCACGGAGATTCATAAATAAAAGCTTTGCATGCCCCACAGAATAGCAAAGAACCTTCCCAGGAAATGCCCATTCCCCTCACACCTACCTGGAAGCATCTCATCAAAGTTGGTTCTGGCCTCAGGGTGGCGCAGCAGGGATTTGGGGGTAAAGACGATTAACTGAAAGACAGAATAGGCTCATGATGGACTGGGTCTTAAAGATTCTACAGAAAGCTGAGCATGGTGGTACACACCTATAATCCTAGCAACTTTGGAGGCTGGGGCAGGAGGATTACAAGTTCAAGGCCAGTCTCAGTAACTCAGGCCCTAAAGCAACTTTGCAAGACCTTCTCTCAAAATAAAAATAAAAGGTTGGGGAAGTAGCTCAGTAGTAAAGTGCCCCTAGATTCAATTCTCAGGGGCCCTGCCCCCAAAACGAAAATTCTAGAAGGAAGGTAAAAAGCAAAGGCCACCTAAGCTATGACCTCAAGACGGATAACACAGCCTGCCTTCCCAGTAATAAACAGAGCCTCAATCAGAAGAGGTAGAGGAGGAAAAAGCAGATGACACATTCTCTGCTGTTCACCTCCCCTCAATGGGTGTGCATTCTCTCCAGGGCAGTCTTGACCCAGTCCTGAGCCCTCAGGCCTATTGGAAAGAGCCCTGAGCCTCTCCTTGGTAGTCACAGAGCAAATATACCCTCAGCCCATTTAATGTTACGAGAGGCCAAGCACGAGGCTATCCTGTCCCTTGGGATGCAAGCTGCTGGTGATGCATGAGTTGCAAGCCCCCTACACTCCTCACCCTTGCAGTATCCCAGGACAGCAGGGTTCTCCCTGGACCTTTCATCACACTCCTTCCTCTGCCTGGATCACTTTTCCCACTGGCCCTACTTACCTAGCTCTACTCACCCTTTGACACCCAGCTCAGGAACTACTTCCTGGGGTCCCTCTACTCCCTTGGATCCTAAAGGGGCTCATCTCTATTCCAGAACTCAGTACACTACCTATGATGACCTGCTCACACATCTATTCTTTCCAATGTGTTGGGGCCTACACTCTCCTCTGATCTCTGCATGTTGTGCTTAGCAGCATGTGAAGACCCAGCTATGTATATGTATGTGTGTGGGAGATCTGGCTCCCTGACACCACATCATGTCCATAACTCCCTTTATAGGCACCAGCTAATCAATTCAGAGTAAGAGGAGCCCTTCTTCTCTGTGCCAATATAGTAGGGGTAAGTCATTCTGAGGCCAGACTTCGTCAAAGTAGGGGGACTCCACCACTGACCGGCTTCCGGAAGGGCAACAGGATCTGCCGTCGAAGCACATGGAAGAAGTTGCCCGGAGTAGAGCAGTTGACAACTACCCAATTGCAGTCATACAGCTGATTGATGTCAAAGTTGGATTCCATAAGGTCCTGCAATTTGGAAGGAATGAGAGGTCAGGCAACAGCACTGCACATTCTGCTTGGGAGATTGGGACCACATGGGGGCAGAGAGGCCTCACAGCTCCACTCTCAGGTACCTAACTCACCTGGAGGCTCAAGCAGACACTAATGAGTACAGTGGAGCAAGCAAGCTCACAGGACTATCTCCACATCCTAAGTCTTAGCCCCATTTAACCTTTTGTAGCCACCTGAAGGCCCAGCATAAACTGATGCTATTTTTTTAAAAAATATTTTTAGTTGTAGATGGACACAAGACCTTTATTTTGTTTTTTTTAATGTGGTGCTGGGGATCGAACCACGTACTAGGCAAGTGCTTTACCACTGAGCCAAAACCCCAACCCCTGGGACTGATGCTATTTTAGGAGACAATTCTAACATTCCTTACAATTGACTTTCAATAATTTTGAGCATTTTTTTTGGAGGGGGTGATGCTAGGGACTGAACCCAGGATCTCATGAATGTTAGGCAAGCACTCTACCACTGTATGTACTCTCAGCCCTTCTTTGAGCTTTTTAACACTATCCCCAAATTTTCCCCTTTGAAGTCTGTTTACACGGCAATTTCTGTGGTTTCAGCAACAGAAGGAGGCAAATGGAAAGTAGCTCTTGCATCTTTATTTTCTGTGCCCTTAGAAAGCCACTCATTTCAGGGAGACCAGTAGGCATGAGGCCACACTGGTTCACCCACTTAAGCTCCCAGAACAAAGAAGGGACAACCAAACCAAGGTCTGACACCTCAAAACAATCAGATGAACTTTTCTTCCCAAGGTCCCCACCAAATGTCCCAGGAAGCAGGCCTACTCTACTCACTGGCAGGACATCTGAGTCGTCATTGCACATTTGCAGGAAACGCTCTGGGCGGGCGGAGGAATGTTCTGGACCCTGGAACCAGACATACAAGTGAGTTTGGAAGTTCTTGCATGCCGATATCTGCTATACTTGCTATTTCTCTTCCTTTATTAGCTTATTTCTGTTTTTTTTTCCTCTGCCGAGGGCAGAGTTCATTCAATTCCTCTCCCTCCTACCTACAAGGTGTGGAGGTGGGGGTGGGGGTTGTGAGGAAAGCAAGTGTCCCTTGGACGCCTGCATGCATTGGAGGGAAGGGTCTGCATCAATATCACTATTGTTCATGCAGGGACAGACATGCTGCTTGCATCCAGATGAGTCGCTCTTGTCTTTCAAAGTGGCATTTCCAACTAAGATGGGTGGAAAATGCCAGGAGACACTTGGGTCTTTGGGGTGGGGCTCCTAGGCAAGTCCTTCCCCAGGTCTGGGTCTTGTGAGAAAAAGTAGGGACTTACCATGCCCTCCATGCCATGAGGCAGAAGCAACACAATGCCATTCTGTCGTACCCACTTAGCCTGCCCTGGGCAGATAAACTGATCAATGATACACTGGGCCATGTTGTTGAAGTCACCAAACTGGGCCTCCCAGAGGACCAGCGCATTAGGGCTAGCCATGGCAAAGCCCAGCTCAAAGCCTATAATGCAGACACAAAAGAAAGACACGTCTGAGACATCAGCCACCAGGCAATGAGGACTGTGGATGAGGGGGGTGGTGGGCACTCACCCAGGACACCATATTCAGACAGTGAGCTGTTGCACACAGTGTAGGGAGCCTGATTGGGCCATAGGTGGTTCATGGGGATGCAGGTTCTCTTGTCCACATTCTGGTCATGGAGCACATGGTGGCGGTGGCTGAAGCAGAACATTAGGATTAATAAACAGGAGCAACTGATCTATCAGGTAACTGACAGATGCAGCACCAACAGACTCATCAGCAGCAACCTGGTATTTGCCAGCTACTGCAAGTGGCACCCTGCCTAGTACTTAACAGAAGCATCCATAATATATCAAGGAAAAGGTAAGGCAGCCTAAACAGCCAGGAATCAGTAACTTTTCTGGCAACAATTTTTTTTCTGGAAAATACACACCAGAGCCCCTCCATTCCGTCTGACTTTAAAAGGTAAAAAAGCCTCTAAATGGTACCTGAAGGTGCCCCGCTCCACATCCTGGCCACTCAGCCGGACATGGATGCCCTCCTTCAGGAGTGAACCGAATGCCATGTACTCTGCCAGAGCCCAATCCACAGTCCGGTTTGTCACCAGCTCCTTGCGAGTCTTCAAGATCCGACTCAGCCCTGGAGAGAGATAGTATTCACAAAATGTCAGGCTCAGGCCACCTCACTTCCTATGCTCCAGTTAGAAAGGATAGAACCTTCTTTACCCACAGTGTCAAGGTTTCCTGACTTGCTGAGCAAGTGGTTACTATGCAGTCTCTACTTTGCTACATAGCAAGTGCAGGACTTTGTTGAGAGCAGTGGGAGGATCATACCCCAGAGGCCTTGCATGCTGTGGGTCTCTGTAGGGCCCCAGAGGTGTTGGCCTGGGCCAAATGCAGCACTGTTTACCTCCATGGATGGTGAAGTTCTCCACAGGCACAGAGCTGGCCACATTCCCGATATGGGTCAGAACATCTTCCTCCAGGCCAGTGGAGGGGCAGGACATGCTCCTGGGCTGCCCATCCAGTGTGAAAAAGCCTAAGAGAGCAAGGACAGGCTAAGGCACACCACCTGCTTTAGAAGGGATGTCTGTAGAGCAGATCAGAAGTGCTGCTCCCTTCCAGGAAATGAATTATGACAAAAACATGACTATGGAGAGACCCAGAGTGAGAGATAGTGAAGACTGGATGATGTTCCCCAGAGAGCATTCTGGGGCCCACAGGGGGCTTTGCTGCAACGGTAGACACACTGTATGTTATGGTCAAAGCAGGAGTGGGAGTTTTTTTTGCTGGGAAGAGGTTTCATAGTCCCATCAGATTCTCAAAGGAGTCTATCTGTGATGTTGCTTCCTCACTCACCAGGCCAGGGGGAGTCAAGCCAGTGCTTGATGTGCAGTATCTTCTCATCTTTGGATCTGGTAAATGCTTCTTCACAAATCTTGTCATACTTGGAGATTTCCTCCTGGAGGGTCAGGCACAGAAAAATCAAGTGAGCACAGCACACTCCCACTGCACGGGCCCATCACACCCTGTCTGGCATACACTGCACCCCTGCCACACACACCCCTACACCCCCCTGCAAGACTCACCGGCTTCCAAGCCCGCTCCTCCACAAAATGTACAGCCTTTTTAAGATCTGTGAGCATCTACAACATTCTATTCTTCTTGCTCCTGATAAGTTTCTTCTCTGTATTTGTTGGCTGAAGATCCTGTTGACTCTAAGCCCCTTACCCTACTTGTTTTTTTTGCTGTTGTTTCTGAGTATTAGGGATTGCTCACAGGATACTTTAGCACTGAGATATACCCCCAGTCCTTTTTATATTTTTAATTTTGAGACAGGGTCTTGCTAAATTCCCAGGCTGACCTCAGCTTCTGGAGTAGATGGGATTATAGGTGTGTGCCACTAAGCCCAGCTCTGACCCCTACATTCTTAAAATTGGTTCAATTCACACAGTTCCTATGCTGCCCTGAGGGGACTGGGCTCCAGATTTATGTTGCTAGCAACTGTCCTTTATGGACCCTGGTCTGCTCTACCATCTCACAGTTTATGTCCTATAGGGGCTTTCTCACTTACTTTGCCAGAATTCCCTGTCCAGATCACATTGGGCCCTTCACCAAACTGAACTATTCACTTGCATCTCACCCACATAATCTGTGTCAACTGAGAAAATTTACTGGACAGTCACTACCCCATCTCTAGAATACCCTTCTCTTCCCCAAAACACTCCTTTGAGGGCTCATCTCCTTTGTAAAGCGTTTTAGTAGTTTAGATGCTCCAAGAAGTTATGCACTGAAATGTTACAGTAGTAAATATTTCACATGCTTTCACTTGGGTCCTAGTGTGAGGCCTGCCAGGACACACCTCATATTCAGGCTGGTTGACCACACCCTGGGACACTAGCAGCTCTGCATACTTCTGTAGCACAGGTTTCTGCTTGCGGATCTGCTTGTACATAAGAGGCTGTGTGAACATGGGCTCATCCATCTCATTGTGGCCGTTGCGCCGGTAACATACCTGGTTAGAGCAGCAAGAGAAGACTTGAGACACCATGCCTAGTCTCAAGAAAAAGCGCTATAGGGGCAACTGCCCTATCTTACTGTGTATTACCAACACGTCAGGTGTCTACTCTGCCTCAGTGTAATTTCCTCTAGAATAGGAACCTTTCCTTCACACAGAAGAGTTGCTCTATCAAATGAGATAAAAGGAAAGTGATTTGGGAGTATGAACTCTTTATTCACCATGCTGTCCCATCAAAGGACCAGATGGGCTTATAAATAGTTCTCTTCACCCCCACAGCTCCTACCTGGAGAGTATCTGGGGATGGGGCTTGGCATGAACATTCTGGAGCTAGATGAAGCCTGGCACTCTAGAGAGCCCTGAGGAGATTCAGATACTAATAGCAAGGGGGTAGGCAATGCTCTCCTTAGACATTCTCACCCTGGCATCACTCACCAGATCAACAACCACATCCTTGTGGAAGGTGCTTCTCCACTCAGCTGCCACCTTGCACACATACATGACAGCTTCAGGGTCATCTGCGTTCACATGGAAAATGGGGGCATTCACCACACGTGCTACATCAGTGGGGTATGGGGAGGAACGGGCCATCCGAGGGTCTGTGGTGAAGCCAATCTGCAAGGAATACATGACCTGTCAAGAGGGCACCAGGCATGGGTGGCACAGGACCCAGAGGGTGGCAGGTAGTGCTGGATATGGTCTACATTTCCTAGTTGGCTAGTTTGAATGAGCCCAAATGGCCATTAACTTTAAGTTGTTTTTCCCTATTGGGATGACAAAATTCACATATGTTTAACCTGAAGAATTTAGAAGATACATTGTAAAATATTAAAGTTACCTATAATTCCATAGGTTAGAGTATAAATACTTTTTTAAGAAATACCTTTATTTGGGCTGGAGTTGTGGCTCAGTGGTAGAGTGCTTGCCTAGCGAGGCACTGATTTCTATCCTCAGCACCACACAGGAAAAAAAAAAAAAAAACACCAACCTTTTATTTTACTTATTTTTTAATATGGTGCGAGGATTGAAGCCAGTGCTTCATATGTGTCAGACAAGTGTCCACCACTGAGCTACAACCTCAGCCCTAGAGTATAAATACTTTTGATATTGTCCTTCCCGGATTAACAACATAAGTATACATACATACATACACATACACACACACACACACACACACACAATTTTTTTTAAATATTTATTTTCCAGTTTTAGGTAGACACAATATCTTTATTTTTTAAATTTTTATGTGGTGCTGAGAATCGAACCCAGTGCCCTCAGGCATGTCAGGCGAGCGCACTACCACTTGAGCCACAACCCCAGCCCCCACACACAATTTTTAAAGTGTGGCATCTTGTTTCCATAATTTTGTACTTTATTTACTATTATGAACATTTTTTTTAAATGCTCATGGTAGCTTCCCTACCTCCTGGCTCCATTCTTTTTTTTTTTTTAATATTTTTATTTTTACTTATTTTTATGTGGTGCTGAGGATTGAACTCAGAGCCTTGCATGTGGCTAGGTGAGCACTATACCGCTGAGCCACAAACCCAAACCTGAACATTTTTTCTTTAAAAAAGAAAATATGAAGGCTTCATAATACTACCACTCATATATATATATTTTTTTTTTCATAATTTTGTAACTACATTTAAAATTTTATTTCAAACATAAAGTTGATAATACTATATTAATAACTCATGAACCTATCACTCAACATAAATCTTAACAGTTTTGCCATACTGGCTTCTGGGCCTTTGCTCAGGCTGCTGGAGCCTGGACCACAAGACTTTCTCCACTGAAATTAGAAGACATTCCATCAGTTGCTCTTTATATTTCGTATGTCAATAAACAGCACAAAGCATCTTTTTTCACTTGTTGGTAACTAAAATTTTTATTACTTCACTCATGAAAAAACTTAACAGATACTGCAAAGAACTCCCATATACTCTTCATTAAATTTGCCAAAGTCTACATTTTGCCCTTTGCTTTATTATTCATGCTCTTTCCCTCACACAAATATCCTCCTTTCCCTTAAACCATTTAGGACAAGAACATTCCCTAACCTAGTCAGAGCTCAGCCTCAAGCAATTTATATTATATAGTATCATTATTCAAACCAGTCTCATGTGGTATCACATGACCACCATCTGATTCATAGTCCAAACATACATTCCATCATCCCAAATAATGTTTGCAGTATTGCCTTCTTTTCCTCAGTTCAGAGGAAAAAAGATGTATTTAGTTGTCATTTCTCTCTACTCCATGTTAATTTTGAAGGCTCCTTTGCTGTCTTTGTTCTTTCATAGCACTGACATTTCTAAAGAATAGCTGCATTTTTAAAACTATACACATATAAATTCTTGTTCCTTATAAATGGTATCATACTCTATATATTGTGTAAATCCTTTGCAATTTGCTTTTAGTACAACATATGTATTTATGATTTGTCCAGGCTGAAACTTAGCTCTATATCCTTTAAAACAGCCTAGTGCTGGGAGTGGTGGTGCATGCCTGTAATCCCAGTGGTTTGGAAGGCTGAGGCAGGAGGATCATGAGTTCAAAGCCAGCCTCAGCAATTCAGTGAGGCCCTCAGCAACTTAGTGAGTCCCTCTCTCTAAACAGAATGTAAAAAAGGGCTAAAGATGTAGCTTAGTGGTTGAGAGCCCCTGGGTTCAATTCCCAGTACCAACAAACAAAACAAACAAATAACAGCCTACTAGTGAAATGTGGTTACCACAAACAATGTGGCTCTACAACATTTGGGGTAGTACAATTTATGGTTTTGACCAATATTCTTCTACAAGAATACTGAGTGTCTGATCTATAGCTTTTAGGAGAGATTTCTAGAGCAAATATACTTTCTTCTCAGCAGCACACAGTTCCTTCTCTAAAACAGACTATATCTTATGCCACAAAGCAACTCTTGGTAAATACGAGAGAGAGAGAGAGAGAGAGAGAGAGAGAGAGAGAGAGAGAGAGAGAAAGAGCATTCTATCAGATCACAATGAAATTAGAAATTAACGATAAAATAAAAAATACAAGCTAGTATAACAAATGGAGACTAAATAATACACAATTGAATGATGAATGGATAGAAGAAATCAAGGATGAAATAAAAATTTTTTAGCGGTAAATGAGAATTGATACAACATATCAAAATCTCTGGGACACTATGAAGGCAGTACTAAAAGGAAAGTGCATCCATTAAAAGAATAAAAAGTCAACAAATAAATGACCTAACACTACATCTCAAAGCCCTAGAAAAAGAAGAACAAATCAACACAAAAAGCAGAAGACAATAAATAATTAAAATCAGAGATGATATCAAAACAAAAGAAACAATTGAAAAAATTGACAGACAAAATAAATAAAATAGATAAACCCTTGGCCATGCTAACAAAGAGAAAAAGAGAAAACTGAAATTAGTAAAATACAAGATGAAAAAGGAAATACCACAACAGACACATTGGAAATACAGAAGATAATTAGAAACTATTTTGAAAATTTATACTCTAATAAAATAGAAAACATCAAAGACATTGACAAATTTCTAGAGACATATGACCTACCCAAATTGAACCAAGAGGTCATACATGATTAAACAGATCAATAATGAAATGGAAATCAACATCAAAAGTCTACCAACCAAGAAAAGTCCAGGACCAGATGGATTCTCACCCGAATTCTACAAGACTTTCAAAGAAGAATTAATATCAATACTCCTCAAAGTATTCCATGAAATAGAAAAGGAGGAAATCCTTCCAAAATCATTCAATGAGGCTAATATTACTCTGATACCAAAACGAGACAAAGACACATCAAGGAAAGAAAACTTCAGACCAATATCCCCGATGAACATAGACGCAAAAATTCTCAATAAAAGTCTGGCAAATCGCATACAAAAACATCAAAAAAGATAGTGCACCATGATAAAGTGCGATTCATCCCAGGGATTCAGGGTTGGTTCAACATATGAAAATCAATAAACGTAATTCATCATATACACAGACTTAAAAACAAGAATCATATAATCATTGCAATAGATACAGAAAAAGCATGTGACCAAAATACAACACACCTTCATGCTCAAAACACTAGAAAAACTAGATAGTAGAAATATATCTCAACATTGTAAAAGCTATATATTCTAAATCCAAGGCCAGCATCATTCTAAATAGAGAAAAATTGAAAGCATTTCTGCTAAAAACTGGAACAAGACAAGGATGTCCTCTTTCACCACTTCTATTCAACATCATCCTTGAAACTCTAGCCAGAGCAATTAGACAAAAGAAATTAAAGGAATACAAATAGGTAAAGAAGAACTCAAACTATCACTATTTGCTGATGATAAGATCCTATACCTAGAAGATCCAAAAAATTCCACCAGAAAGCTTTGAGAACTAATAAATGAATTCAGCAAAGTAGCAGGATATAAAACCAACACCCATACATCAAATGCATTCCTATACATCATCGATGAATCCATTGAAAGAGAAATTAGGAAAACGACTCCATTTACAATAGCCTCAAAATAAATAAAATCCCTGGAATCAATCTAAAAAAAGAGGTGAAAGACCTCCCCAATGAAAACTACTGAAAGAAACTGAAGAAAATCTCAGAAGATGTAAAGTTCTTCCATGCTCCTAGGCAGAATTAATATTGTCAAAATGGCCATACTACCAAAAGCATTATACAGATTTAATGCAATTCCTATTAAAATCTCAATGACATTCTTCTTAGAAATATAAAAAGCAATCATAAAATTTATTTGGAAAAATAAGAGATCCATAATAGCTAAAGCAATCCTTAGCAAGAAAAGTGAAGCAGGAGGCATCACAATACCAGACCTTAAACTATATTACAGAACTATAGTAACACAAATGGCATGGTAGTGGCACCAATATAGACTTGTAGACCAATGGTACAGAATAGAGAACACAAATACAAATTCATGTAAATATGGTTAACTCATATTAGAGAAGGGTGTCAAAAACATTCACTGGAGAAAAGACAGCCTATTCAACAACTGGTGTTGGCAAAACTGGAAATCCAATATATAGCAAAATGAAATTAAACCTTTATCTCTCACCCTGCACAAAAATCAACTCAAAGTGGATCAAAGACACTAGAACAGAGACCCTGAAGCTAATAGAAGAAAAATAAGCCTAAATCTTCATCACATCAGCCTAGGATTTCTTTTAATAAGACTCCCACGCACAAGAAGTACAATCAAGAATCAATAAATGGGATGGAGGGCTGGGGATGTGGCTCAGGCAGTAGCGCGCTCGTCTGGCATGCGTGTGGCCCGGGTTCGATCCTCAGCACCACATACCAACAAAGATGTTGTGTCCGCCGAGAACTAAAAAAATAAATATTAAAAATTCTCTCTCTCTCTCCTCTCTCACTCTCTCTTTAATAATAAATAAATAAATAAATGGGATGGATTCAAATTAAAAAGCTTCTTAGCAAAGGAAACAATTAAGAATGAGAGGAGACAGAATACAGATTGGGAGAAAATCTTTATCACATGCACCTCTGATAAAGCATTAATATCTAGGATATTAGAACTCAAAAACCTTACCACTAAAAAAAACTAATAACCCGATAAAAAATGG